GTGTTACGGGATGCAATATAAAGTATTGATGTGTCTGAAAAAGAATCAAAATACCACAAGCGAATAAAAGTTGGGTGAATCGCATCACTGAGTAATGTAACATAAGTGTGAAGATGTTCTGGGAGGGCTCGACAGAAGGTTCGGTGGCTTTCGCCGTGTGGTGATTTGTTCGAAGACTAACGGATATTCGGTTACTTGTGTATTATTGGGAATGCTCAGTTCTGGGCTCATGGGATTGTCTTCTAAGTGGGCCGGTTTCAGACGGTCTATGCTAACGGAGTCTTCGCGGCCTTTTTTGTCTGAGACAAACAATTTATCCAGATGTTTGATGACTTTATATGGTCCGTCGTCCCAGAGGGCGACGCACAGAGTCTGGACGGACAAATACATGTGAAGAAGTTTTCAAACACGGGTGAACAAAGACGTCTATGGACTGTGGTCGAAGGGGAGCAGGTTTAACTGAAAGCATTGTGTTTGTAAGCCTGCTGACGTATGAGGCGTGATCTACTGCTGGTGGTAAGCTAGAGGGAGAAACACACTTACCTGGCAGTCGTAGTGTTCTGCCATATACTAGCTCGGCAGCAGTTCAACCAGCATTAGTTTTCAAGGCGTTTCGTATCCCCAGGAGAAGTGCATTGTTTGCAGCTTATAACCCAGCTTTCAACTGTCTGTGCAGACGTCCTACCATACCATTAGCTTGAGGATGGTAGGCTGTTGTTCTAAAACGAATACAACTTATGATTTTAGTCAAGGTGAAGAATAAGCCGCTTTCGAATTGCCGCCCGTGATCAGTTGTTATGCAGGATGGGCATGCAAAGTTTGAGATCCATCGTTCGACAAAGACGCGTGCAACTTTTTCGGCATATACATCCTTGGGGGATACTGCTTCAGGCCATCGTGTGAAACGGTCGATGCAAGTTAAGATGTAGGTGTATCCATGAGATTCTGGAAGGGGTCCAACCAAATCTACATGGACGTGTTCGAAACGCGCATCAGGGATAAGAGGGGTGCCAAAAGGCTTTTGGAGCGTCTTACTACCTTACACTTTTGGCAAGGTGAGCACATTTTTGCGCATTCCCTTATTTCTTTATTAATACCAGGCCAACAAAACCGACTAGTTACGAGCTTGACGGTAGTTCGAATACCTGGGTGGGATAAGCCATGCAAAGTATTGAAGACGTGATGGCGATGTTTTCTAGGCACGATGGGGCGAGGAGTACTCGTAGAAATGTCACACAGAATAGTGTCTCTTCCCATACCTGAGGGTTTCTCGGCCAATTGCAGGGTTGCTTTCGACAACTTATGTTAAAGCTCAGTATCTTCTTTTTGAAGACAAGGTCTATGCCATCGATTTGGGTGAGGGAACAAATGCGCGACAAGGCATCTGCCACAGTGTTGTTCACTCAGGATATATAGCGAATATCCGATGTTAACCGTGAAACGCAGTCCAGTTGTCATGATTCTCTGGGTGAATACTTATCTGAAGTTGAGTTCAGAGAGTACGTCAGAGGTTTGTGGTCAGTGAAAATTATAAATTCGCGACCCTCCATTGAATGTGGAAAATGACGTGTAGTACAGTACATAGCCAGAAGTTCTCTGCCAAATATGCTGCACTTTGTTTCTGCTAATTGTAGACAACACGAGAAAAAGGCGAGTGGTTGCCACTCTCTCTTGACTAGTTGTTGGAGAATTGTGCCGATTGCAGTGTCTGATGCATCAACTGAGGTACTCAACAGTGCCGTTGGATCCTGATACATCAAGAGGCAGCATCGGCGATAGCTTTTTTAACCTGAGTGAAAGCATTTTGAGCAGACTCATCAAATTCGATGAACTTGTTATTCCCTTGAAGAAGGTCTGTTGGTAGCTGAATTGGGGAAGCACAACTAGGAACGAAGCGTCAGTAATAACTTACCAAGCCGTTAAAAGTGAGCAGACTTTTCACTGTCTGTGGCTCCGGAAAGTTCAGTATCTCCTAAACTTTACTAGCCAGTGGGTGAATACCCTTACAGTTAATGAAGTGGCCCAGAAAGTTGAGTGAGTCAATGCTTATCTGACACTTTTGGTTATTAATGGTAACACCCACAGCTGTTACTGACTTAACACCACCCTAACAAAAAACTGTTCATCTATTGCGAGAAGCCCAGTTTTGATATATATATATATATATATATATATATATATATACGCGTGCGTCGGTGGCATAGTGGTTAGGACGCTCGCCGACCATGCACATGGTCCGAGGTTCGATCCCCGGCCGGCGCACTCCTTTACCTCGCTAAGGTAGTAATAAAGCTGGTGAAGGGGAAAGGTTGGGCATGAGGCTAGCAACCCCATCTTGTAAAAATGAGCACTGCTACAGAAACTGCAAACCTCTAACTTGAAGCCCTATGTTCCACTGGGAACGTGAAGGTATAAAAATATATATATATATATATTATATATCACGGCTTCAACAAAACATCTACAAATTCTTCTTTTTCTCTCCTCTCCTCTTCACACGATCTACTCCATGTCACCCTCGCATTGATGACCCACTAGTCTTTTCCCATTAGGATTCCACTCGAGCAATGGCCTGCACTGAGCGTGATGTCATTCGGCGGTTTCCTCAATGCATGCCCCATCTATCTCCATTTTCTCCTTTATATTTGTTAAACAATCGGCTCTCGTCTGTCGGTTTGTTCTCAGCCAGAGTTTCTTGTTGCTAATTCTTTTTGGTCGGCTGGCCGACCATTTGATCTTCAGTATGGAGGCAGCGAAGTGGGCAGCTGTTGGTAAAAGTCTGAAATCGTTTTCATGACATGCAGTGCAAGTTTCTGACTCGTATAGAGCAACTGACTGACTTCACATTTGTGTTGAAAATCCGAATCTTGTTCTCTATACTGCGGAGTGCAAAATATTTGCAAACTGGTTTCAGATTGATGAAGGAGTATCTTGCCTTTCCTATTCTGGCTGGTTTTGACCTCTCATCCGTTCCGCCGGCCTGTGGTTGAAACCATGCTTCCTAGCCAGGTAAGTGAAATTATGTAGTATTTTTCCATTATGTAATTGATGAGTCACTTTGCAATGTGTAACGCACACCATATAAAATCGGTCGTGAAAATTTAGCATAACAAGTTCTGCTAACCAGTTGCCTTACTCAGAACCACTTTACATAACTTTATCACTATTTGTTCCACTACTCATATCACTCTGAAAAATAGAATATAACTTAGTTGTTCTAATATTAGCTATTTTTATACTTCATAACTCTTAAGGGAAACCTAATTTCTTAGTCTTTTGTAGTAATCCACTTGTTCACTAGTATGATGATAATACTGCTAACAATGTCCTCTGGTATTATTGTGCCATGTGACCTAATGGGAAGCACTTGTCATGAAAGCTGTTAATGTGCAGCTTACTGTATGATTGGGACGGAGTCAAAACAATCCAATATTACAACTGCAGTCATTGTAAAAGGTCTCAGAGCTTAATGTCAAAAAAGGAGGGAGGGTGGTGCATGCTGATCAGCAGATTTGGTAGTGGTCACAAATGTGAATCGCTCCGATCTGTAGGACAGCAACATGCATTATTTTGGCAGCTCGAGAATTAAACATGAGTTTAGATACTGAAAGTATAAAAAAATTGACTTTATAAAAAAATTAAAAAACAAACAAACTAAAACAATAATGACTGTACAGTTTTAGCTTGTAAAAAAAATAATGCTTTCGCTCCTAACATCTACAAGCCTGCTCAGTTTCTTGTCAAGATGCTATCCCATGGGCCATACACAAGTTCGCCAGACATCCTACAGGTCATTATATTCAACAGGTTCTAATCCTTCTAGCCACTTCTCTCTAAAATGTCACTTATATACTTCACGATAATCCTTCTACCTAATTACTATTATACTCTATTTTATCTCAACTTCCTAGGCCTTTAGTAAAGCTGAAATTTACTCTTTTGTTTTTCTTTTTTCTCATTCACACTCTTCTCTCGCATAAAGTTCGGTTGCTCTGATGGTAAAAAAAACAACATAACAACAGCACTCATGTTTGAGAATAACTTTATTTTCATAGAAAACGTCATAGTTTTCCATGGTAAGACCAATATGGTTAGCATCATACATTGCAAATGTGCACTATCATATCAAGTACTGTATAGCTTATTCTTGTATTTTTCTTGTAAATATACTTCCAATAATGTATTATTCATGATTGCATTTTATACCACTTTGTAGCTGTGCAGGATTTTCTCCTCTTCCTGAAATAGCGTTCAAGCACGTGGTTGTCGCTCAACTTCGATGGAAACCTTCGTGGAAGATTTACAAATTAACAATTATAAGAATCTGTTCCGATTGCTTGTACTATATAATTCAACAATTTGAACTTTAAAAAAAAGTGATAATCTTACTATCCCTTGTAAACGTTGTACTTACCTCAATATTGGTTGGCTATCGTATGCCTACAACTACGGGTTGAAAACGAAACGAAGTCGATTTTCCTGCGCAACCTGGAGGACTACTGTTTAATTCAATAATGATACGACATGGGTCAGACAATGAGTGTATTTATATATATATCAAATATTTAGCTGTTCAAACATTATTAACTTGTAGACAATCTACTATTTGTCATTATATCATACTTGATCGTGCCTGTAAAAATGGCATGCATTTTCATGTAAATTTATGTTTATATGAAAATATAAATTATTATTATTATAAGTATTCTCTGTCAAATCTCTCCCGTTGATCATCTTGTTAATACTGAGCATATAATTAACATTAAGAAAACGTTTTGAGTTATCTGCCACACACCAACGATTTTTCTTTTTACATGCATCAGAAACCATTTTAATCTAAATAAATAAACTGAATATGTGTGTCTAGAAGAAGAAATTTGTACAAATACTTTCTTTGTCATACTGAAAATTGATTAGTTGACAGTGATCAATAATTTTAAAGATAGTCAATGTCCATTCATTCACTGTTAATAATATTTTTAAGCTATCAGTGATAAGTTATGCATCAGTCGACACATATATCATTGTATGATGATGAAGACGATCTGGAATTACACGATGTTACAAAAGAACTTGAGAATTTAAAGGTTCGTTTATTACGTTCACTGTTCAGCATCTGTGATATTTTTTGATATATGTATTAGTGTAGGGTATTATTACTATTATTATTATTATTATTATTATTATTATTCATAGGAGTCCAGCGGCACGTCTACTTTTTTACTAGGACTTCTACCATCCCTTTCAACTTGCTCAAATGATTGCTCAAAATCTTTCATTTCCCTTTCACATAACTTTCCACCTGTTACTCTTCGATACCTGATCCGTCACTCTGGATTTGTGTTCCACTCAAGGGCATCTGAAGATTTACTCAATGTAATAATCTATCTAGCCAGTGTTTAGATAGCTTAAAACATCATTCTGTCTATAAGATTGCGTAAACTGCTGTTGGGAGAAATGCTTCTTAGGAAGTGATCTGCTCCCAGCATGTTGTAGAGTAGTGCTAATTTCAGAAAACAGTCATCCATTTGCTACATTTTGTCAATATGCTATGTGCAGTTTCTTTGTTATTTATTTCGAATAGTTCATATCAAAAGCTACTACTGATACTGGGGATTTTAAGCACGAATTTCGTCTTTAAACAATAATAATTAATATATATTAAATATTCCCATAGTAAAATTTAGAATAACACATTTAAGTGAACAATATTGTTTTCAATTAGATCTCATCAGCCTTAATAATAATAATAGTAATAATAATGGTCTTATCAATAATAAGGATGAAAAAGTGAGGCAATCTGTGATAACACGAATAATGAAAAAACAGCATGATTAAACAAACAACTGTTCAGGTGGAAGTAGTCGATAAAGGCTAGTAAAAACAAATGAACCGATTAAGTAATGTCAGATTGTAAGGGAAGTAAATGAAACACGTTTTTAATGAAGATGTGATAAGATTAAGGAATGATAAGAAAGGGGTTGAAAAATATATAAACAAGGGGTGGTGTGGAAGTCATTAGTAGGTTATGTTTTAATACGCCAAGGCTGTACGAACGTTTTTTGAATGCATAGTTTAGGTTTAATGGTTCGAATGCCTATCTCCTCAGTTGTGTGCAGTAGACGAACACGAAGTCTGTTGGAAAGATTGGGTGGGATACGATGAATTACTGTCTCCACTACATGACCACTATCAATTAAATGTGACAAAATTGAGCTACGGATTGTTTTTGTCTGTCCTTTACTAAACCACGATTGGAGATGTTCAATAACACGTTGGCTAAGCTGTCTAATTGAAAACAATATCGTTCACTTAAATGTGTTGTTCTAAATAATAATTAAGATAACATTTTCCGTTGTCATCAATCTGGATTTTTTATCTGAATTGAAATAGGCTTTTAAAAACGTTGGGAGGGGGGGGTTGGGATTAGATAAACGGTTCGGACAAATTTCCAAGTTTTCTGACTGTAGTTCTGAACTAGATCAAGTGGAGCATTTTGTTAGGTTGTTGATGGTACTTGTGCAACCTGCACTTACACAAAGACACCCAAACCGTTGCTCTGAGTGACGTAAAGAATAACTTTTACAGAAAACGATTTAGTATATTACAGAAATCTAAGCACTCCAAGATGTTCATAACTTGGAGAAGTTTAATTCAAAGGTTGAAGTTCTGTTCCATACAGACACATTTCGAGACAAGGCGGACAGAATTCCTTTAGAAACTCATCTAGGCTGTGAAATTATCCCAAAACACTAGACAACAAATTAATTGGGTTTATAAGGACTTGAGTTATTCTAATATTCAAATATTGTATCCCTATATCTGCAAGAGTGAACGGTGATCTTTCTCAGCCTTTTGTGTGAGCAAATCCTTCATCGTTTCATCTCTTTATGTTATGTCCTACCACCTAAACAAGTTGAAATTAATAAACGTTTATTTTAAATAATAATAATACAATTTGCGTTAGTCACCTGTGTTCAGTTGTCTTATCTGTTTCTAACAATACTGTACAACTTTATACACTGGATAAATTTTGATTATTTCTGGAGTAGTAAAGATGTCAACTCTCTCCACTATAACCAAACTTTATATATAGGTACTTTTGTGATAAATTTCTATTTCAAATCATGAGAAATATCCATCGGGACGAAACCTAGGTCCAAGGCTTCCTGCCAATCGCCTCCAACCATCTAATACCAACAATTCACAGTGTACCATGATGGCAAGCCACCTAGTGGCATGGTGGCCACATTGCAAGCTTGACTGATAGAATTCAGTCTACACTGAAGGTAGGACTAGACATACACATTACACTAGTTACTGACTAGTGTCCAATCAAAAATATCCAATACAGTCCTACTGGAGGTCAATCGCGACCATGAATAGCTCAGTGGTAACGTCTCTGATTGCAGCACTGGGTGACGCGGGTTCGAATCTCAGAAGGGACATGAGTTCCTTCGATACGCCTTGCTGGCTGATGAGTGCCAACTAGCACGAAACCTAGGTGAAGCAGGGCTTCCTGCCGATGCCTTCAACCATCTAATACCAACTATCCATTGGGATATTGGAGAGTAAAAAAAAGAAACTGAGCAATGAAATTTATGGCGGTTTCATCATCAGAATCTGTACAATCACACTTTCATGCATACGTTTACATGGTTACAATTATTATTTAATTTAGCATTGTAACTAAGGGATATAATAGGACGTAAGAATTTTCACATTGGTATAAAAACACGACTGTATAGCTTTTAAGAATAAAATCGCTGAAAAGATTTTTGATTTCGACATCTAATTTCATAAGTTTTCGATCTTCTCGTGAAGATATTTTTGTTGCTGACATAGAATATGAAAAGAACCTTGTCCCGTTCGATAAAGACTGTCAGAAGATGCAAAATTTTCTCAGGACTTAAAGCCACAATGCAAAAACCTTTCTGGTGTGTTTTTCATCTTCTATATGTACATCGTTATTTCAGCGTTGGTCTGCATCACCAGTCCATCTGACTAAAAGGAAAGGGAGTGAGTAAGTGTGTCCAGTATCCCGCATATTTGAGGTGTTGTATGTCTTGATAGGCTGAATGGTCTACAAGATCTGAGCACGGATGCTGAAAAGTCTCTTTGTTTTCACTCATGACGTCATAGATTGAATATGCTGAACAGGAGTGCTCCATGTTCTATTTATGGCTACGTATATAGTTATGAAAGGTGGAAGGTTATCAGTGACTACATATATTTGACTACAGTGGTCTTCAGAGTATTACAGGTTTTAAGTGGGAGCACTACCTGGGGAGTGTAAGGTTTAGCCATTGAGTTTTATAGGTTGGACTGTTCAGTTAGGTTGCTTAAGTAGCCACTGTTCATGTCTGCAAGAGGGATTTTAAGGGAAGTAAAATCATATTAGAAGAAGATAAGGGAAAGTTAGACCAAAATAACTCACCAAACCATGCGGGGAAGTAAAGCTTTCCTGGTGTGGGTTCATAAGAACATCAGAACCCAGGCTTAGAGTCTGTTAGTGATATATCTCGGAATAGATTACAGCGCATTATATGTATTTATGCTTTGTCTTCACTGTTACTGCTTTCTATTATTTAGGATTATATATTACTTCATTCTACTTCTATCTCTTCCATTTAATGCTACTCTCCTGGCAAAATGCAGTAGCTCTATATCCTATGCTGGTTCAGTATTTAGTTTTCTGCGAACAATCCCCTGGGTGATATCAACTGTTAACCAGCTCCAATTGAGAAAATGAAATTACTGCATACTACTGATTCAAGCATACTTACCAAGATGTTTTATCAAGGGATTGAATCTAATTAAATGAAGAGAAAGTATAGTGTCGTTATTAAGGATGTCATTTCAAAGTTCTCAATATCACAGATTAATTTTATCCGCCAATTTGGATTATTTGCTTTTGAGGTAAACGAGTCATTCAGTCTACAGATGAATAATAAATAAGTTAATCGAACTTTTCATTGGACACTAGTAACTAGTGTGACGTGTCTAGTTCTTTCTTTGGTGCAGACTGAATTCTATCGGTCAGGTTTTGCAATGTGGCTACCATTCAAGGTAGCTCGCCATCACGGCGCACATTGATTTGACGATATAAGCTAGTTGGAGGCAATCGGCAGGAAGCCTTGGATCTAGGTTTCGTGCTAGTTGGCACTCATCAGCAAGGCACCATGATGGCGAGCTACCTTGAATGGTGGCCACATTGCAAAACCTGACTGATAGAATTCAGTCTGCACCAAAGAAAGAACTAGACACGTCACACTAGTTAACAGTGTCCAATGAAAATACTCACTACAGTCATACAGGAGGTCAATCGGGAGCCCGAATAGCTCAGTGGTAACGTTTCTGACTGCAAAACTCACTGGGTGACGCAAGTTCTACTCTCAGAAAGGACATGAGTCCCTTCAAGGTTGCAGATACGCCTTGCTGATGGGTGCCAACCAGCACGAAACCTAGTTGGAAGGCTTCCTGCCGATTGCCTCCAACTATCTAATATCATCAAATTAATCGAACTTTGTCTTTTTATTGCAAACATTCCCTCAACCGGTTACATTAAGACATCTTGAAGAAGTTATTGCTAATGATGATGCTGCCGTTAGGCAGCTATACACTCCAAGAATTTCTCATCTATTCAAACTGAGTACTGCATAAACAAAACTAGTTAACCAACAATCAACCTGAAAAAGTACCTAAGGAGGACCAAGTAAAATAATCCCAATAACGTCGGATCAAAACTCTGTCAGCAAGAATCACGCACCAAACATTTTCAACTGACAGTCCAGAGTCGAAGTCCCACGAAATAATCTTGACTTCGCTGAAACAAAATCGCAGTTGTGAAACAACACATTGTCAAAATTATCACACGACCAAACAAAAAGAAACACTAAAATTAGAGGTGAAACAAGAACAAAGACAAATAATGAAGATTACGCCAACAGGTGATATGCAAGCTTTACGACAATTATATATAGCCTACGGGAAAAAGGACAATAATGACAAGCGTAGCCGAAACACTTATTATTATTATTTTTATTGTTCCCTTGGGTTCCTAGTGGAACATAGTGCTTCAACTACACGTCTCCACCTGCTTCTGTCTTCTGTTGTACTTTTCACTTGCATCCATGTTAGTCCATACTGTTTCAACTCCTCTTCACACGATCTCCTCCATGTCACCCTTGCACTGACGTCCCACTCGCCGCTTCCCTTTCGGGTTCCACTCGAACACTGGCCTGACGCACGATGTCACCCAGCGGCCTCCTCAGCGAGTGTCCAATCCATCTCCACTTTCTCCTGCATATTTATTGGGCGATTGGTTCTCGTTTTGTTTGTTCCCATAGTTTCTTGTTTGTTCTTGTTCTTTCCGGCCATCTGATCTTCAGTATAGAGCGAAGACAATTAGTTGTTGATAAGGGTCTGCAACAGGCTGTTGGAAATATTCTTTGTGACCCGCCAAGTTTCTGATCCGTATAGAAGAACTGAGTTGACGTTTGTATTGAAACACTTAAATAAGTACTAATATTGTAAATAGATCATTCAGGAGGCATTTTCTAATCAATTATTCCGCCACAATTTCATTGGAATCAGTTTGGTTTGCCAATTAATTTCATATTAATGTGAATATTTTCTTTTGTTTTCTCTCAGGCTGTATTTTCGCGTTATGATAATCATGCTGTAAAACTTCAAAATGAACTAGAATTAGTACGTGAAGACCTTTATGGATTAATTCATGCCAGAGGGACTAAACCAGACAATGAAGGTATATTTTTGGATTCCTGTTTTTGGTAAACTTAAAAGGAATGAAAAAAGATATTTTTAAGATGCATGTATATATGTATGTAGCTGTGTTTATACACCGATAGAAAAACAGTCGTTAATCCAGATGCTCCGTCATGGTGATAGTTGGTTGGGCTTGATTTCCCGTCTGAATTTTCCAATCGAAACTACCGGGTAATCTTCTTACACCTAAGGGATAGTTTTCAATTGCCTACTGTGATACAAAACCTCGCCTAGTTTACTAGATAGCTGGTTATCTAGTCGGTCTCAAGCCCAGGAAAAGAGGGAGGGTTGGGTGTGGGGCTGGCGACCGTACACCACAAAACCAATCAAACTGTTACAGAAACTTCAACGCACAAGAAATGCATTAAAAATACAAAAAATTAAAAACATGCTTATTCTTCGTTGGAATCGGAGAGGCAAAATTACACTGCGGGCTGGTGAAAGCCTTCGGGAAGCCAGTCATCCAGCCGATGTATCTTCACTAGATGAAAGCAAGAATAAGAATGGGGACGTGGAATGTGCGTACAATGTACGAGACTGGGAAGGCTGTACAGGTAGCCAACGAAATGCAAAGATATGGCATGGAAGTGCTCGGAATCTGCGAAAGCAGATGGAAACGATGTTGATTATTAAAATTGTCAACTGGAAAGTCAGTAATCTACTATGCGGTGAAGTGCCCCAAATCTTTATCGACCTCATTCAACAGCTGGCTATATGACAGTGTCACGTGTCAGGTGATCCACAGAGGAGAACTCAGTGAGGAGTTCGAAGTGAATACAGGAGTAAGACAAAGCTGCCTTCTGATGTCACCGATGATATTCCTAATTGTGGTGGACTGGAATATGCGTCAGACTGTGCACAGGGAGTGAGAAGAGAGGAATACGCTGGACCGATAAGAAGACTCTAGAAGATCTGGATTTATGTTTAGTGTCACACAAACTCTAAGACTTGCAGGCAAAAACCAACAAACTGGCTGACGAAGCAGGCGACGAAAACAGGATTGCAGGTGAACATAGAGAAAATGGAGGTGATGGAGATAACCAGTCAACAGCAACAGCAACAACAATGAGCATCAGTCACCATCAATGGGAGAGATTTAACAGAGGTCACTTTCTTCACTTATCTAGGAAGCATCGCTCCAACTGCAGGCTGAATGGATGAAGATGTCAAAGCCAGCCAGAATAGGAAAGGCAAGATACAGCTGAAACCAGTTTGGAAACCTACACTTAGCCAGCATAAACAACAAGATTCGGATTTTCAACACAAATATGAAGTCAGTCAGTCCTTCTATACGGGTCAGAAAGTCTCAGTGCACATCACGAAAAGCTTTCCAACAAGTTACAGACTGTTATCAACACCTGCCACCTTCGATGGCTCCATAGTGAAGATCAAATGGCCAGCTGTCCCACCAGAAAGAATTAGGAACAAGAAACTCTGGTTGGGAACAAACCCACCAACAACAAATATGTAGGAGAAAATGAAGGTGGATCGGACATACATTGAGGATGCCATCAAGTGACATCGCGCGCAATGCAGGCGATCGCTCTAGTAGAATCCGAATGAGAAGCGACGTGTGCGTCGTCGGTGCGAGGGTGACATGGAGGAGAACCTGTGAGTTGGAGGAGGAGATGAGAGATAATGGGCAATCGAGGACGGCAGAAAATATAAGAAAGTGTAGATATGTTGTTGAAGCCCTATGTTCCATTGATATTAGTATAAAACTTGGGCACTGTGGAAGAGTATAACTCCATTATGGATAAGATTTTATTTTGATAAATCACAGTGTTGTACAGTAATATTAACTGATGACGTTTCGAGCACAAACTATTGCTCATAATCATATGTTCCACTCGGAACCCAAGGGAACAATAATAAAAATATTGTGCTACAAATTTATTAAGAAGTGTTTGATTTTGTTAAGTGTATTAAGTGATGAACCTGTAGTTTCGCCTTCTTGTGCAGAGTGATATTCGTGATTACTGTCAAGATAGTAAATGCATACTTAAGTTCTTTGTAAAATATTTTTGTTTTAAACATGCTATACTCACTATAATTAAGTAGTATAATTCTCTGCCTAACCAAATTATAGTGAACAAGCTATTGGCCTGTAAAACGACGTTTGACAAACGCAATTACAATAGTATGACTACAATAATTGTACAGTTGTGGTCAGCGAGGGTGTATAATTCGGAATGTCAAGTGCAGTGGGAATGCCACTAATTACACGTACATCTAACTGAAGAGCCTCATGAAGCATAGAATGCATACTGTAAACTACGTTATCACCACAAGACTTCTGAGTAAAAAGATATTTTTATTCAGGGGGAAAAAATAGTTGTCACATGATAATTAAGTCTATGCTAAAACTAAGGATTATTACTGACTGAAATCATAGCTTTCAAATTCTTGCACTGATGATTCTTTGAATCGATTACATAGTTTCATTTCTATACACTTTGGACCGACACCTGCTTATAGCCTGACCTTCTTTTGCGTGTAGATAAATGATGTTTTAGGCTATTTTGGAGTTAAACCAGATTTAATAACTCTGCCTAGCCACTGGTTCAGTAAAATCATTTTGTTCAAAGGTTTTATACGCTGTTTTCGCGGTCTGTTGGTTGCTAAATCACTAATACAGGATTTTCACCAATTTGAGACCTCCTCAAAAGTTAGGGCAAGAGAAAAAAAATTAACTGAAATTGCTTTCTCATCATTATGTGAAGTTGAATTCATAAGTGGTTTTCATGTATGAGCTATTATTCTTCAAACGCTTGTCATAATTTTAATTTAAGCACTATATTAGAATATTATTCATGTAAGTGACAATAAGTGTACAATATATGCGTCTTTCTAGTTTTCTGACTTTTAGTAAGATATATGCATAGGTCTTGTATACAACAGTAGTGTGTTAATCTGCTCTGTCCCACATAAATGGTGTTATGGAAATACAAGATAATGAAGCTTTGGTTTGACTCCTCAAGTAGTGTGAACACATTAGTAAAGTCAGAGTGAATAAGCAAGTGTCTTTGAGTAACTGGAAGGTAAAGTAACTACTTGAATTAGTGTTCACTACCGCAGGTTTCATTTCTCAAATTTTAGGAAGTTACACTCATAACATTTCAGAGAAAATCAGGTACCTGACTTATTTCCTTACAAACCACTTGATTATCAGACAAATAGTCATCTGTACACAGTTGACACTGCGTCAATGGTTCAGTGGTAGATTGGCCACCATCTCTAGTAACTACGGTTCCTCCAAAATCTGTCATTGTTCACTAACCAGAAGTAAGTTTGGAAAAGGTCGGTCGGTCGGTTTTCGACATAGAACTTTGCACATATGTGCGGCAGTTCAAGTCGCCACACTCCCTTCATGTAGCACAAAAAGCAAGAGAAGAAATTAGAAGAAATGCATAATATAGTCAGTAAACAGAGGTGTGAGACAAAGGAATAGTCATAACGGAGAACAAAACAGTTTCATTGGAAACCATAAGTCACAAGGAGTGGATACATCTGCGCCATTGAGAACGATTTTGAGCTACGACACCAATTGTTTCCAGCCATTGGTGTTTACCGTCCCGAGGACCCCAACCAGGTAGTCTACACTTTCCTACGTGGCTTAAGCTAACTGTTGTGGATTTCATTGACTGGTGCCATGTTTTGGTTTGACCGCCACTAGCTCTTTTCCAGCCTGACCAATCCTATATCAGTTAACATTACCCGTCGAGGAAGGCGATGACTAGGCATACGTAACACATGTCCTAACCATCTCAGTCCATGTAATTTCACAGTCACGTCGATTGATTTCCCCTCCTTACCTAGCACTCGACCGATGCCTAACCTCAGTATTGCTCACCTTATTATGCCACTTCACACGGGAGATAGAACGCAGACACCTTTGATCGAAGACAGCTAATCTTTTCATGTCTTCTGCTCTCAATGGCCAGGTCTCACAGCCGTAAAGGAGGATGGAGCGGACTGATGAGCAGTACACACGCCCTTTGGTCGATAGTCGGATATCACGTCTACGCCAGAGACGGCGTAAATTGGCATATGCGAACCTGGCCTTCTGTATGCGTGCTCAGACTTCGTCAGCGATCAACCCACTGGTATTGGCTGATGCAACTTCCCAAATAAGTGAAGTGATAAACACGCTCTACCACTTCACTTCCTATTTCTAATCTAGGGGTCGGTGTAGTCCAATCCTGCAGCATCATCTTACATTTTACAGGGGCGAATCGCATGCCAAACATACGAAGATTGGTGCTCAAGGTGTTCAGTAGACTCTGTATTTTGTCAGCGTCCTCGCCTAGAAGGACTATATCGTCTGCATATTCTAAGTCAACCAGATTCTTCCCTGGTAGCAAGTCAATCCCTGAGTCGCTGAAGTGTGTTAGGGTTAAGTCCATTAGTACGTCTATGATGAAGTTGAATAGGAATGGGGATAATTAGCATCTTTGACGGATGCCACTAGTCATCACCACTTCAGATGACAACTCGCCGTAAGCCCTCACCTGGCTGCATGAGTTCGAGTAGAGTGCCTTAATCAGTGCAATGTATTTTCTCGGCATTCACTTCACAGCCAAGCATCGCCAGAGAACCTCTCGGTCGACAGAATCGAATGCCGCCTTTAGGTCAAGAAATATAATGATTGTTGGACGCCGGTAGGAATGCCTATGTTCTAGAATCTGTCGAAGGGTGAAGATATGATCAATACACCCTCTTCCTGGCCTAACACCTGCCTGGTTTTCTCGTGTTTGTGCCTCCCGAGCACCACTTAGTCTACGCAGTATTATTGAGCCTAGGATTTTAGATACTATATTAGTCAAGCTAATCCCTCTGTGATTATCACAAGAAGACATGTCTCCAAATAGTGACTTGTCTTCAGATAGTGACACAGATAATAGTCTTACTGTTGCTAGTGTCGTTACAAACCTACCGATAAGTAGTGCTTGTCCATCTTTGGTAAGAAAGTTATATATATATATATATATATATTACTTATGTCATAATTCCTAAACCACTTCAGTGAATTAAATGTAGTCTCACTTCTGTAATCATCAGAGTTATTTTTAGAGTATTGTGTTAAAGATGAGGTTAAAACTAATCAAGAAACATGAATTGCAGTTATTCAGCATAAGAGACATTTTTGAATCATCATCAGTTATTTTTAGTAGGATTCCATACAGTGGATGTCACTAAACAGATCTTGATATTGGTGGTCAGAATACCTTGAATGGTTCAAGAAATGGTAGGATCTTGTAGTTCATATAGGAAAGCTCCAGGATAGCATTGTGGATATTGATATGTTACTACAGTGATAGGTAAATGTTTCATGCTTTAAACTCATGCTTTAAACACTACCTCCTGTTTTTATCGATTCCACTTATTTCGTTTGACGAGTACTTAGAAAACAGGCGAATTCATATTACACAAGTATTACGGGTAGTTGGCTTAATTTCTAGGAGATCATATCAACTGGAGAATTATTGAGAGGTGACTAGTAATGTTCCACCATTTTGTCGTATTCTCATAATAATGAGACTTCATTTATTTCAGACAATATGTGAACACATAACGCAGAAAGTTTCAGCCTATTTAGTCCCACAATATTTCCTCTTCACATAGGATATACATGTAAAGCAATAATTTAGAGTATTTTATGAGTTGATCATGTATTGATATCAGTTATAGAACCATTGAAAACCAGGGAGTACTGGACAGCCAGTGGTTTCAACTTAGTTTGGGAATCATTGGCATCAGGCACCCATTAGGATTCGAAATCAAGACCTTCCTACTACAAGGCAAGCTCGTATACCATTCACCCACAAGGATCTAATTAAGTGACCGCTGAATTCTAACTGCTACCAATTCATGACTTAAGCGCGACCACCAACCAATGTCACTGGCGGAAACTCCACCCTCACTCCCGAATGGATGGACCCCACTGGCCACGATTTCTCACTAAATCTCCAGGCAACTTCCCCCTATAGCCAATCACTACCGAGCATCAGATAGCTGCTTCATCCTAGTACCAGTACTCCTTGGTTTTCAATGGTTCTCTAACTGATATCAGTCCATGGTCAAACTTGTAAAAACAAATCTAATCCTTACAAACCAACTACTGAAAATTACTCTAATGTATGTCATGTGACGTAGCGTTCTTACATATGAAGAGAGAACAAAATCCTTTGAGTTTTCTCTTCCTTTCGTCGAAGAAATGGAAAGAGTTTAGTTTGAAGATAATTAAGTAATACAGCGAGTTCATGCAGTGGCCATTTGATATAACTACATGATTAAAACAATGAGAAATGCAGAAGAGTTTAGGCATTTTAACTCCTAGCTTAGAGATAGGGATCGAAGTGGTAGAGCGTGTTTATCACTTTACTTATTTGGGAAGTTGCATCAGCCAATACCACTGGGTTGACCGCTGACGAAGTCTGAGCACGGAAACAGAAGGCTAGGTTCACATATGCCAATTTACGCCGTCTCTGGCATAGACGTGATATCCATCTATCGACCAAAGGGCGTGTGTACTGCTCAGCAGCCCGCTCCATCCTCCTTTATGGCTGTGAGACCTGGCCATTGAGAGCAGAAGACATGAAAAGATTAGCTGTCTTCGATCAAAGGTGTCTGCGTTCTATCTCCCGTGTGAAGTGGTATAATATGGTGAACAATATTGAGGTTAGGAGTCGAGTGCTAGGTTTTTTTTGATTTACAGCTTGATTCCACACCGTATTTTCAGTACAAGTGTGGAATTTTCAGCATGGATATCGGTAGCCCAAATTCAGGCCGACCATAGATATCGGGTGTGCGTCGGCAGGGGATCGAACCCCAGACCATGTGCATGGTCGACGAGAGTCCTAACCACTGTGCCACCGACGCACAAGAGAGGAAATCAATAGATGAGGCTGTGAAGTTACATCGACTGAGATGGTTAGGACATGTGTTACGTATGCCTAGTCATCGCCTTCCTCGACAATGAGCAATATTAGCTGATATAGGGTCAGGCTGGAAAAGAGCTATTGGCGGTCAAACCAAAACATGACACCAGTCAATGTAATCTACAACAGTTAGTCGAGGCCACGTAGGAAGATGAAACCTTCCTGGTTGGGGTTCTCAGTATGGTAGAAACCAATGGCTGGAAACAATTGGTGACATGGCTCAAAATCGTTCTCAGTGATGGCGCAGATGCATCCACTACTTGTGACTTATAATTTCCAATGAACCTATATTGTTCCTCGATATTACTATTCTTTTTGCCTCATATCTCTTTCTACTGTCTCTATTTCGCGTTTCTTTTTTACTTTCTTCTTCTTCTTCTCTTGCTTTGTGTGCTGAGTGAAGTTTGGCGACTTGAACTGCTGCACATCTGTGCAAAGTTCTATGTTGAAACCAGTCATTCAGTTATTTTGATGGATAGAAATTTCGGTAGTCCAGTGATTTAAGCAGTCCACCATGCTAAGACATTTTGACAGTGTAAATCTGGGGCTTACAAAGAGATATAGACTACAGTTAGCGGGTTTTATAGCAAGCATGTTTCAATTCAGCTGTTGTTAAAGAGGTATAGAGTAATTCTGACAAATTCACTGACTGAGCGAAGACATACTCACTGAGAAGTATGATAGTCCTGGACTTCATCTCTTGGTGCATTGATAAAGAGTCTTTAACTATGGGCGAAAGGGTGAGCGTTACCTTTGGGATCCCAGTTGTTCTCTAGCTGATGTTACTTAGTAATGTAAACCACTAATAGAATCATCTTCTTCTCTTAGAACTCCTTAATTTAATAATTACACTTTGCTTTATCGTTAAATGTAGACTTCTTCAGATTTCATTTAGTTATTTGCTAATCTTTCCTTTTTCAGACAATGTAAAACCTAATGAAATTAAATTAACTCAGGAGGTATAAAGTAATCGATTTAATTTCACTGACTTCATCTAATTATGTGTATGGTTAACAGGACTTTGAAACAATAAAATTAATCAATGAGAAGCAGGCGAAGAAAATGTTATCCCTTAAAAAGGCAAGTTAATGCATACATACATCACCTCTAACGTTACAATAATAATACTATTCATAATAATAATATTCTTAATTTTTTGTAGAAAGCACACGCTTACAAGTCAAATTTCAATGTGTTATTACAAGAATTAGACAAACAAAAAGTTGAGTAATGATGTTTTAACGATTGTTCATTCTCTTATCTGAAGTTTATTCATTTTTCATATTCATGGTATTTGTTAGTTGTGTTTCCCATTTTACTATAATTGGTGTGGTAAACCTTTTTATCTGCTTCTTAATGATTACATGATAAAGAACGATACTCATTTTATAGCAGAAAGCAACTGTAGTCATAAACCCCTAATCCTCGAGAATCCTCTGCCTTTATTATTATTTATTATTGTTCCCTTGAGTTCCTAGTGGAACATAGGGCTACAACTGCACGCCTCCACTTGCTTCTGTCCTCTGCTGTACTTTTCACCTGCATCCATGTTAGTCCATAATGTTTCAGCTCCTCTTCACACGATCTCCTCCATGTCACCCTTGGACGTCCCACTCGCCGCTTCCCTTTCCCGTTCCACTCGAGCGTTGGCCTGACGCGCGATGTCACCCAGCGGCCTCCTCAGCGAGTGAGTGTCCAATCCATCTCCACTTTCTCCTGCATATTTGTTGGGCGATTGGTTCTTGTTTTGTTTCTTCCCATAGTTTTCTTGTTGGTGATTCTTTCCGGCCATCTGATCTTCAGTATAGAGCGAAGAGTTAGTTGTTGATAAAGGTCTGCAACAGGCTGTTGGAAATAATTCTTTGTGACCCGCCGGTAAGTTTCTGATCCATCCGTATAGAAGAAGTGACTGACTTGACTGACGTTTGTATTGAAAATCCGAATTTTGTTGTTGATGCTGAGTTGAGTGACAGGGAAGATTTCCAGATTGGTTTCAGGTTGATGAATGTGTTTCTCGCCTTCCCAATTCTCGATTTGACATCCTCGTCCGTTCCACCTGTAGTTGAGACAATGCTCCCTAGATAAGTGAGTGAATGAAGTAACCTCTTTCAAATTCCTCCCGTTGATGGTGATTGGCGCTGGATGTTGCTGCTGTTGTTGTTGTTTGGTTATTTTCATAACCTCCGTCTTGTCTATGTTCACCTGGACAAGACGGAATCTTCTGCCTTTAGTCACTTTATATTATTGTCGTATTATAATGACAGAAGACAAGGACCAGGCAACAGATCATTTATTGAGAAAATCAAGAGATATTTATAGATTTTTGTATGCATTATTATTAGCGTTTTGTTAGCAGAGAAGCAACGTCTTCTGATTGGTTGTTCCTTTGCTGAACGTTATTCTGTTCTGCTTGTGACGGTTTCTCAGAAAGTTAAGCATATATTGGTCGTATTTGCACACGTTAAGTCTGCTGTGATTGGTTGGTGAGTTCCTCAAGGTTAAGCTTTGTTACTGTTTTTTTTCTTGACCACGATTCGGGACGTAACATTGACCTAAATTGCTGCCAAAAAAGTGAGAAATTTTAACCATCAAATCAAAATCTGTTGTGTACAACAAAAGTGACGTAACATGAATTTCAGGTGTATCGAAAATTTAATCAGTGGTTAAACAAATTATCCCTCAGCTAAGTGAATGAGTGTGACTGACCACCTTATTTGTATGATGAGTAATAAATTTAGCTTGGAATATTAACACAGTGTGTTACATTAAAAAAGCTTACCTACTATGGAATTGTTAGTGAAGAGATATCCTGTTGTTGAATGCCTCATTACAGCTATCAGCAGCTGGACTTCCTAGGGAATTTATGTAAGCAGGTATATTATGATTATTATCATTCCCTTACGTTCCGAGTGGAACATAAGGCTTCAACAACATATCTCAATCTCATCCTGTTCTCTGCAGTCCACTTTAGCTGGCTCCACAGTTGTCCATAGGATCTCATCTCCTTCTCACACGACCTCCTCCATGTCACCCTCGGGTTCACATCCTACTCTTCATTTCCTATTCTCCTTCCACCCGAGGTTGTGTCTGGCACCCAGTGTCACTCAACAGTCTCCTCAGCGTATTTCCAACCCATTTGGATCTCTTTCGCCTTGTTTACCGGGCAACAGATTCTTGATTGGTTCTCTGCTGTTAATCATTCTTGAGGAGCCGGCACCTACTGATAAAGTCTAGATTTTGTTCGAAGTGCCTTTGATGGCGCGTGTGCAAAACCCTTGAAAACTATATAGAAGCAAAGACTGACTTGACATTACTGCTGACTATCCGAAACTTGTTGTTTGTGACTGGTGCAATAGATCTTCACAGTGATTTCAGATAATTGAAGGTGTGTCCTATCTTTTGGATCCTGGGTAGCTTTGACATTCTCATCCGTGCCGCCTGTAGTTGAACCGATGCTACCTAGATAACTGAAAGAAGTGTCTTCCTTGAGTTTCCTCTCGTTGACAATGATTGATGCTTGTTGGTGTTATTGTTAGTGGGTGGGTGTCTCCAACACCTCTGTCTTCGCTATGTCTACTTGAAGTCCCGCCTTCTCTGCATTCCCCTTCTGACAACGTGTTTGCTTTCACCTGTAGATCGTGATTTTGTGCCTAAATACATCATCCAAAAACATCAGATCTTCTACAGTCTTCTTGTCGATTCGGCGTATTCTTGTTTTCACGCTCCCCACGGTCTTATGCATGATCCAATCCACCAGAATCAGAAAGATCATCAGTAATAGTAGGCAGTTTTGTCTTACCCCTGTATGCACTTCAAAGGCTTCACTGAGTTTTCCACTGTGGATCACTTGATATGGGACACTGTCATATAGTTGTTGAATGAGGTTGATAAGGGCTTGGGGCATTCTGTAATGTTGAAGTAGTTTCCAAATTACTCCGAGGTCAATGCTGTCTGTCGAAGGCTTTTTCAAAGTCGATGAAATTGCGGTAGAGATTTGACTGCCATTCTATGCTAAGTTTGATGAAGATGTATAGAGTAAGAATTTGATTTAGGATTGAATTATGCGCTGAGGTTTTTACCTAGTAAGGCCATGAAAGCTTCACAAATAAACCATCCATCCCAGAGAAGATAATTGCATTAAAGTATGAGCTTAAATTTGATCCGCACACGATTTGCCTTTCCTGAATCCAGCTTGTTCCTGTGGGTGGAGTTCTGAATCCAGTGTATCTTTTATTCTTTCCAGGATGACCCGACTCCGCATTTTACTTGGCTTTGAAAACAGCACTATTCCACACCAGTTCTTACAGAGGTCTAAGTCGCCCTTCCTCGGTATTTTGATAAAGTAGCTTTTCTTCAAGTCGGTGGGTACCTTTCCTTCCTTCCTTACTGACATTTTGTAATAGTGTGTGCCTTCGACAGCGTTGACCGCGAAGTAATTTGGAAACTACTCAGGTACTACGGCGTACCCCAAATATTCATCAACCTTATTCAACAGCTGTATGACAATACCCCATATCAAATGATCCACAACGGAAAACTCAGCGAGGCTTTTGGAGTAAACACAGGAGTCAGACAAGGCTGCTAGCCTATTATCACTAATGATATTCCTAATTGTGGTGGACTGGATTATGAGTCAGACAGGGGGAAACGAGAAGACAGGGATATCCTGGACCGACGTGAAGAATCTAGAAGACCTGGATTTCGCGTGTGGATGATTCATGTTTGATGTCACACAAAATCGAAGACTTACAAGCGAAAACCGACGAACTGGTCGAAGATGTAGCAAAGACAGGACTGACTCCAGGTGAACATAGACAAGACGGAAGTTATGAAAATAACCAAACAACAACAACAACAACAACAACAGCAACATCCAGCGCCAATCACCATCAACGGGAGGGATTTAAAAGAGGTTACTTCATTCACTCACTTATCTAGGGAGCATTGTCTCAACTACAGGAGGAACAGACGAGGATGTCAAGTCGAGAATCGGGAAGGCGAGAAACACATTCATCAACCTGAAACCAATCTGGAAATCTTCGTCACTCAACTCAGCATCAACAACAAAATTCGGATTTTCAATACAACCGTCAAGTCAGTCAGCTCTTCTATACGGATGGATCAGAATATTTCCAACAGCCTGTTGCAGACCTTTATCAACCAGTATCTTCGCTCTATACTGAAGATCAGATGGCCGGAAACAATCACCAACAAGAAACAAACTATGGGAAGAAACAAAACAAGAACCAATCGCCCAACAAATATGCAGGAGAAAGTGGAGATGGATTGGACACTCGCTGAGGAGGCCACTCTCTGGGTGACATCGCGCGTCAGGCCGACGCTCGAGTGGAAATGGAAAGGGAAGCGGCGAGTGGGACGTCAGTGCAAGGGTGACATGGAGGAGATCATGTGAAGAAGAGTTGATACAGTATGGACTAACATGGATGCACGTGGAAAGTACGGTAGAGGACAGAAGCAAGTGGAGACGTGCAGTTGAAGCCCTATGTTCCACTAGGAACCCAAGGGAACAATATTAATAATAATAAACAGTAATAAATTTCTGCATATAAGACGACAATGCAGATGAAGCAGTTTCATGATATTATGCTAGTGAATAATGTAGACAGCGTCTCCATCATACACAGATACTGAAATCTAGAACCACTAGCACCATTCACTCTCATCTCGTAGATAATTTTAAAAGACAATTTTGGTGGGGGTGCGTGGCCTGAGTTCCCCAGGTGATAGACAAGTGAGCTGGTAATTGTCTTACATTGTCATTTTGTAAACCATTCTAGATTATGTTAGGAGATGCATTTGGAAGGTATGCGATTTGTGCGGTCAATGTAACTAGCTGTTCACACTTGCTTCTTATTCGATAACAATTCTAATCTCATTAAATTTTGAACCTTTTCTTTCATTGTTTCATGGACTATTATGCAATTGTGATTCATTTCAGAATTTACTAGAAGACTGCAAGAAAAATGACAAGACAACGGCTGAAAAATGTGTACAAACCGATTTGGCGGAACCTTCATCAATTGAAACAAGTCAAATTAAACCAATGACATTGGATAAGTTTACTCATGGTGTTTTAGAAATTGCCTTCCAACTGCATGAAAAGTTATCTGAATGTCATGGTCGTCGTCGATTAGAAATTATACATCATGAAAAACATACCAGTGAATTAAGTAGAACTCATCTGGAAGCGCTGAAGCGAGTACAAGAAAAGCAACAGAAGAATTTAACTGAATTTAAATATCGTATTCAAAGAGCTACACAACAAGAATTAGGTGTGCTAAGAGAGGAGAGAGAAAAGCTTTTGAGTCAGTAGGTTTAACTTATTTCTAAAGAGTAAAGTGTGGAACTGTACTTTAAATTATCCAATACCCTAACTATTTTCCAGCTTAAGCCTACTTCAGATAGTACTAATCATCGATAAATGTAGTGATTTGGCATGCACTGCACCTTAGTCTAAGCAACTTTACAAGCTTGTCTATTATTTAGGTGGCATAATAAGGTAAGTAATGTTGACGTTAGGCGTAGAATGTTGGGCAAAGAGGGAAAATCAATCGAAGAGACTATAAAGTTACATAGATTGAGATGGCTAGGTGACGTGCTGCGCATGCCTAACCATCGCCTCCCCCACCCCGAAGGGCATTACTAGCTGATATAGGTGCAGGTTGGAAAGAGCAAGCGGTGGCCGAACAAAAACATGGCATCAATCCATGAAATGCTTGACAGTTAAACTGAGTCAGGTAGGGAGATGCAGACTTCCGGGTTGGGGCGCACCCTCGGGACTCTAAGAATCAATGGCTGGAGACAGACAATAGGTGACATGGCTCAAAATCGTTGTCAATGGCTTACGCAGATGTATTCAGTCTCTGTAATCTTTCATATTCCTTTCTACCATTACTCATTCTTAATCACTCTCATACTTGTCAAAACTCTATTGATTCTCTTCACTCATTTTCCTGTCTACCTTTGTGTGCTCTTTGGAACGTGGCAACTCAAACTGCTGCACTTCGGTGCCAAGTTCTATTTTGAATCCAGACAGACAGACAGATTATTTAGGTCACCCACTTAACACAATGTTTATATTATGGGATTTGTGAGGATTCAAATTAATTTTACCTTTTAGACTTTGTTTCGAAGCAACATCAGTTAGAGAGATTATTGAAAATTAGGAAGCATTGGACATCTGTTTTGTCTTAGCTTGTGACTCTTCAGGAATATACGCCAATGATCCGACCAGGGATTTAACCTAAACCTTCAGGTTAATAGACCCTGCTGGTTGACCAATCAACCAGTAGGGCCAAAATTCAGTCACCTCTGAAATCTAACTCCTGTTAGTTCGTGACCTTAACCAATGTCTTCGACGGGCATCCATTTCGCCTTGACATAGTGGATCCCACTGGTCACAGCTTCTCACTACAGCTTCAAGACATCAATCCGGTAGCCGTAGTTTTTTGAATTAATTTCAATGAACTAACATCATTTAGAGGGACCATTGAGAACACAATTCCTAATTTGAAAACTACTCGGCAGATTTCCCCAATGAACGTGAGTAACTGAACGAAGACACCCATGTCCATGGAACTGTATTTACAGTGAATGCTTCGTGTGCATACTCCTGTCTCCTTAATATGAGTAACTTCTCAGTAATTAACAAATATTAGATATGCTCAGTTTCATAAATGGCGTGATAGAAAACATCTAAACTTTATGTTTTTGTTATTTCAGATGTCATAGTTATTACTATTTGGTAGTCTTAAGGATTATCAGGAGAGTTAGATAAAACAGCAGATTAAGATGCAGTTCATTCGATTTAACAGTTGTAAGCCTGTCTTACTTACTCATCGTATAATAGTGAAATTTTGAAATGGTTTCTTTGCATACGCAAAAAGCGACTTATCACTTGTAACAGAAGGCCATCAGGTTAACCAAGAATTTAACTGCTGTGAAATGTAAATAGATATCAAAGAACAGGAAGCATATAAAGAAGCATCACAAGGCACTTAAATATGTTATTTTTTTATAAAAAGCGCAGTCCAGTTGAAACTCCTACAATTCGTTAATTCTCGCATTCTGCCTATTATTCTCTATTGTTCCCCCTTAGTTTTTCCAGGGCTTCTGAAGAAGGACTATATATTATTACGTAGGATGTTAAAGGTTTTCAGCAGGGTAGGCAACGTGCCACTTAACCAGCTTGTTAATATTCTGGTTGACAGGCACATGAAGTCATGTGAAAAATGGGCCAAATCCGTTCTACCTAACTCACACCACCCTCTTCACTCACAACTCTCCTCTTGCGTCTCATCAGACAAAACCAGAAGCCTATATAGAAAACTATATGCTCGCACCAGCAAGTACAAAAACTCATCATCATATTATACTATTTCACCCGGGAGATAGAACCCAGGCACATGTGATCAAAGACAGATAGCCTTTTCATATCTTCCACTCCCAGTGGCCAGTTCTCACGGCCATAAAGAAGGACGGAACGGACTGATGAGAAGTACACACACCCTTTGGTCGACAGACGGATATCACGTCTATACCAGAGACGGCTTAAATTAACATATGCGAACCTAGCCTTTTGTATGCGTGCTGAGACCTCGTCAGCGATGCAACTTCCCAAATAAGTAAAGTGATAAACACGCTTTACCACTTCACTCCCTATCTCTAAGCTAGGATTAAAATGCCTAAACTCTTCTGCATTTTCCATTGTTTTAATCATGTAGTTATATCAAATGGCAACTGCATAAACTCGCTGTATTACTTAATTATCTTCAAACTAAATTCTGTTCAATTCTTCAACGAAATGAAGAGGAAACTCAAAAAATCTTGTTCTCTCTTCATATGTGAGAACGCTACGTCACATGACATACTCTAGATTAATTTTCAATAGTCGGTTTGTAAGGATTAGATTTGTTTTTACGAGTTGATCATGGTCTGATATCAGTTAGAGAACCATTGGAAACAAGCAGGGAGTACTGGACAGCTGTTTCATCCTAATACCAGTACTCCATGGTCTTCAGTAATTCCCTAACTGATATCAATCCGTGGTCAAACTCGTAAAAACAAATCTAATCCTTACAAACCAACTCTTGAAAATTAATCTGATGCTCGTTAGTTATTGGCTATAGGAGGAAGTTGCCTGGAGTTTTAGTGAGAAATCGTGGCCAGTGGGGTCTATCCAGTCGGGAGTCAGGGTGGAGTTTCCACCGGTGACATTAGTTGGTGGTCGCTCTAAAGTCACGAATTGGTAGAAGATAGAATTCATGGGCCATTTAATTGGATCCCAGTAGCTGAATGGTATAAAAGCTTGCCTTGTAACAGGAAGGTCTTGATTTCGAACCCTAATGTGTGCCTGCTACCAATGATTCACAAACTAGGATGAAACAGCTGTCTGTCCAGTACTCTCTGGTTTTCAATGTTTCTCTAACTGACATCAATCCTTGATCAACTCGTAAAATACTCTAGATTATTACTTTACATGTAAATCATATATGAAGAGGAAATATTGTGGGACTAAATAGGCTGAAACTTTCTGCGTTATGTGTTCACATATTGTGTGAAATAAATGGAGTCTCATTATTATGAGAATAGGATGAAATGGAGTTACATTATTAGTCACCTTTCAGTAATTCTCCAGTTGATATGATCTCCTAGAAATTAAGCTAACTACCCGGATTTTAATTCATTGAAGTGGTTTAGGAATTATGGCATAAGTAATATATATAAAGACATTTCCAGTCTTCTAACAAAGTCCTCACAGAAGATGGACAAGTACAACTTATCATTAGGCTTTTAAAAACAATAGCAACAGTAAGACTACTATCAGTGTCATTATTTCAAACAAAAAGAATAAAACACGTGCACTCTGTTCACAAAATAAACGTGTTAGTCTAGAAGTGGAAGCCTATAACCCGTATCTTATTATTATTTGGATTCCTTTGGGTTCCTAGTGGAACACAACTCTATTTATTCCTGTTCTCTGTAGACTTCTTAAACTGTGCGTCGGTGGCACAATGGTTACGACTCTCGCCGACCATGCACATAGTCCGGGGTTCGATCCCCTGCCGGCGCACACCCGATATCTATGGTCGGCCTGAATTTATTATTATTATTTCCTTTAATTCCTAGAGGAACATAGGGCTTCAGCCATGCGTCTCCATTGCGTTCGGTTCTCTGCTGTAGTTTTCACCTGGCTCCAAGTCTGCCCACACGCTTTCAATTCCTCTTCACATGATCTCCTCCAGGTCACCCTTGGACGACCAACTCGTCGCTTCCCTTTCGGGTTCCACTCGAGCAATGGCTTGTCTAGTGATGTCACTTGCTGGTTTCCTCAGAGTGTGTCCAATCCATCTCCATTTCTTCCTGCCTATTTGTTTCACGATCGGTTCCTGGTTGGTTCGCTCCCAGAGATCTTTGTTGCTGATCCTCTCCGGCCATTTGATCTTGAGTATTGAGCGAAGGCATTTGTTAATGAAGGTCTGTAGCTTGTTTGAGCTGCTCTTTGTGACACGCCAAGTCTCTGATCCGTATAGTAGTACTGACTTCACATTGGAGTTGAAAATACGGATCTTATTTTTGACGCTGAATGCTGTTGACCTCCACATAGACTTGAGAGAAATGAAAACTTGTCTTGCTTTTCCGATTCTGGCTTTGATATCCTCGTCAGTTCCTCCTGTAGTTGAGACGATGCTTCCCAGGTAGGTGAAAGAAGTTGTTTCCTTCAGGTTCCTCCCATTTATGCTGATTGTTGTCGGTTGTTGCTGTTGATGTTGGCCAGGAATCTTCATTACCTCTGTTTTGTCTATGTTCACTTGAAGTCCTATCTTTGCTGCTTCTTCTGCCAATTTGTTGCTTTTCACTTGCATATCTTCCAGTTTGTGGGAAATCAGACATATATCATCGGCGAAATCCAAATCCTCCAAGGCTTTTGTGTCGGTCCATTTTATGCCTGTTCCCTCGTTGGTTGCCGTTGTCTGCCGCATTATCCAATCAACTGCAATCAGGAAGATCATTGGTGACAGTAGACAGCCTTGTCTCACTCCCGTCCTCACTTCGAAGGATTCCGTGAGCCTCCCGTTGTGGATTACTTGGCATGCAGCGTTGTCATACAGCTGTTGGATGAGATGTATAATTGTCGGCGGCACCCCGTAGTAGCGAAGTAGTTGCCAAATCACATCTCGATCGACGCTGTCGAAGGCTTTCTCAAAATCGATGAAGTTGAGATAGAGAGGTGACTGCCATTCCAAACTTTGTTCAATGATAATCCGTAGGGTGGCGATTTGGTCAATGCATGACTTGTTCCTCCTGAATCCG